TTGTGTTGTTCTTTTTTACACATAAATCTTTCCATTTTGCCTTTATTTGTTTGGCAGTGAGAAACATTTTGCTTCTACAATTTTCAAGTAACACTTTTGAAAGTATTATTTTTTTTCTCTACAAATATTCCCGTGTTTCTTACAGTAATCTCCAGGGGAAGAATGCATTTCATTTGACCAAAACAGAATGCTTCATGTTGACTCAGAATGGCTTCTGGGGGCTTTGCAGTCACTTTTGTTTTGCCTAAAGAGAAAATATTCTGCTTTCTGTTTAATCTAAACATTCCACCACCAATTCTTTTCATTGCTAAACTGAAAGGTCTTTTATTTTCAAAGATCCAGTTTCAAAACAAGTTCCTTTATAGAAGTTACTCCTGTACCTAGAGGAGACTTTGATGGGTTACCAGGGGAAATACAGCAGACCAGGCAACTTCCCTGTGAAGCTTTCCAAAATGCTCTGCCCAAAGTGTCACTTCACTGCTAATGCTCCCATTACTGTAAAGAACAGGTTATAAACCTCCTCTCAGTGTTTTTGACCTTGATGAAGACAGACTTCATGGGGATTATGTCAAAACATGAACTTAAAGAACCTGCAAAACTCTGCCCAGGCTTCCCAGCTTAGGCATGGCTGAAGGAAGGGAATAAAGAGTGAGGGCAGGAGAATTATCTTTAGCTGGAACAAAGTGAGAAGCAAAATGTGAATGTTCAGGAATTACACGGACATGAAGAGCCGTGAATGACTGTCCTCAAAGGCCATTTAGTGCTTGTCATCTCTGTGGGCTGACAGACAGCACCTGAAGGGAGAGGCAATATCAGCTCCCCTGCTTTAGATGTGAGACAAATATCATGAGACAAATTGCTGTCACGGGGCAGGAAACACGAGCAGAAACGGAAAGCACCCAAAACCCTGTACAAAATGCTGTGTGTGTGTCAGGAGGATGTTTCAGACAAGGGCAGATGAGAGAGTGCTGGAAAGTAAAGAGCTGTGGGAGAGATGGAATCTACAATACCCCACGTGCCGTGCTGGGGGGTTTAGGTCCCTCAGCTTCACCAGGTGGCAGGACAGGGCTGAGCTAAAAGGGACCCTCGCGAAGCTCATCCTGAGCAGCAATTAATCTCCTCCTGGACAGAACCAGAATCTAAACATAAAGGGCTTCACTGCCCGAAAGAAAACAATGTTCTGCAGGCACTTGACCTTTGAGTTGCTTTTGTGAGTGGCGTTTGATTTCCCTGCCTGGCTGTCCCCAGGGCTGGACAGCAGCTCCCTTCCCTGCTCCATCCCCCTGTCACGGCTTCCTTGGCTTTGCTGTTTGTGTTCCCTCCCGAGCTGTGCTGGGTAAACAGTAACACCCTGGCCTGGCTGCAGCTTCCTGCAAACTTCCACTGACCTGGGGAGCTCGACAGCCAGTCTGAGACCAAAGGGAAGGGGCCTTTCCCTTGCCTAGGAGCTGGGGCTGCAGATGATAAGTCCCTAATGGGCTTCAACTCTTGTCTTTCTTCACATATAATGAGCTCTGCAGCCACAGTAAATCATTCTTTTAAATTATCCTATGGGAATTGACGGGTGTTTCCTTAGGGGTAAGGGCATATCACCTTCCCAGCTCAGGAGGAACAGATGTGCCAAGCTACAGGGAAATGCTCTATTTTCATCAAGTGCTTCTTTGCTGGGAATTTTTCACTTGGACTTCAGTGCTGGTGACTGTGGAGAGGACAACACCTGCATCTCCCATGCCACAGCTCTCCAAATTGCACCAGTTGAGTGCAGTTGATTTACACCACCTGGAATTACATCTTCCTTGAGGCTGAGGTTATCATTTTTAAAGAAAAGCGACCCTGTCCCTTTAGTTTCAAGAAATTCTGTCTCTGAGAGACTTTTTTACAAGGAGTTAACTGATTGCTGATGAACTGAAGGTGGTGGACATGTCTGTAAAGCTGGCAGTGACACTCCCAGTGTTCCAGCAGATCATTTTTCCACGCCATGGTCAGTCTGAACTACTTAGGAGTTTCATGAAGGATCTATTTTTTTGTCTGCACAAACCATAACAAAGGTATCAGCTGGCACTTGATTAGTTCAGAATTTATTCTTTGTCATTCTGTTAAGCTCCAATGCTGAGCCACTTTACATTTGCTTATCTGTTAATGAATGGTCCAGCTGCCTGGAAAGGCTGTTGCTCAGAGCCCCTCCTTCCCAGTGTGCCTAGTCCTGCTCAGGAGGGGTTTTGGAGCAGCTGGAGCATGACCAGCTGCAGGACACACCAGGCTTGCCTGTTCTCTGTGTCCTGGGGCTTTTATAGTGCTTGATGACTGAGATATTTGAGAAACTCTGGCTGCCCCAGCCCTGGAAGTGTCCAAGGCCAGGTTGGACAGGGCTTGGAGCAACCTGGGCTGGTGGAAGGTGTCCCTGCCCATGGCAGGGGGTGGAACTGGATAGTCTTTAAGGTCCCTTCCAACCCAAACCATTCTGGGATTCTATCACATTGTTTTTTTCCTTTTGCACAGAGTTTTACAGTTAGGGAGGAAAATAAAGCCTCCCTGACCTCATGGACATACCCAGGTGCTTGACCTTCCCCTGCAGCTGCCTGTCCCTTTCACTCCAGGGTCACTGTCCCCTGATGGCCCAAGTGCAGCCCTAAAATCTCCTCTTTAAGCTCTAATGTCAAGCCTGTAGTAGTGCAGCTGTCACAGCAGCAGGAGCTGCTCCACTCATCCCTGCAGATATCCCAGCCCAGGTATCCCAGCCCAGGTATCTCCCACCCCCAGGTACCCCAGCCCAGGTATCTCCCACCCCCAGATATCCCAGCCCAGGTATCTCCCACCCCCAGGTATCCCAGTCCAGCCATCCCAGCCCAGCTACCCCAGCATGTCGAAGAGCCCCAGTATTACAGAGGAATACAGGGAGGGAACAGCCCTTTGGCAGGCAGAGAACTCTCTTTAGGTTCAGGCTACAGACTGGCTAAAGCCCTGCCATAACACACAGCACAGCTTGCACAGGGCCCTGGGACACCTCACTTATTTAGGAAAGAGAAGAACCCATAAAATATAAACCCTTTTTCTTTCTTTTTTTTTTTTTTCCCAAAACAGAGTGAGAATAAAGCCCCTGAGACCCAACATTCACTAGTAATTAACAACCACAGCTCAAGCCATCCCTCCCTTTCCCCACCCAACCTTTATAACCCAGAAACTGCTTTTTTGGGGGAAATATTATTCTGTTTTGACTAAGGTGTATCAATCATTGCACAGTTCAATGCTTTCCAACACTTTAGGATTATTTAACATGTGCTTAGCTGCCTTTTTTTTTTAATGTTACTTTTTAAACAAACAGTGCTATTCTGAAATTCCCTCTAAAAATATTGGCACAAGTATTCTTATATTCAGTGTTCCCATCTTTTCAGTCCAAGCTTGACCCAGAATTGTGAACAGTTTGGGATGAAGAAGCTCCTTTTTTCCCAGCAGTTTTCTCGTGGCTATACCCCTGTCCACCCCAACACATTTGTTATTCTCTCTTTTTCTCCACAGGACTAGAAATAATAGTGACTACATTTCCCCTGACACTTTTTTGCACTCCCAGTGCTTGCTGCAAATACATAAAAATCTATTTTCTCTGCTTTTTCGTATCACAAATAATCCAAGGATCTTCTTTTAATAGTCCAGAGTCTTATTTTAAGTCGAAAGTCCTTTCACCATATGCACAAGCTTTAAAATTGGCCACTGTCACACTTGATAGCTCCAAGTGTGGTTCAGCTGGAGAGCAGGACTGCAGAGGAACCAAGCAGCTCAGGGACAAACACTTAACACATTTTCAAAAAGTGACTCAGCAGAAGAATTTAACAGACCTGTTTGGGAAAGTGAATGACATTGGACTGAGTATAAATATTTCCTATTAGTTGTAGGGATTGGACCAACCCACAGAGTTGTGGTCTGGAGATCTGGTTTCTCAGCCCCAGGCTTGATTAGAACCAACTCCTGCCTGACCAGAAAGTTCAGATGTGTATCTGAACTTCCTAAATGTGGGGACATTACAGGTCTAATTTTTTAATTCCAGTAATCTCTCTGACCTAATGTTTCTTGCAATTCCCTTACTCCAAAGCACATGCCTTTTGATGGAGCAACCCAGTCACAATAAACCAGTGACTCGGAATAAAAGCTGGCATGAAAAGACAATACTAGAAATCAGAGAAATCATCCAGATTTCTGCTCTTTCCCTGCTGTTTTACTGCCTCATGTTCAGTGCTCCTGATCAGCCCCTTGTCACAGCTGCCCACACTAATCCCACATCTCTGGTACTTGCACAGTGCCCCAAGAGCCTCTAATAAAACATGGTCATCACCACGTGTGGCCTCTCTGACACACACACAAAGCTCCAACCAACACTTGCCCTCGTTGTGATGAATCCCATGGTATATTTTGTCTCCTAAGAATCCTATTTCCAGTTCTCAGAGCTAAAATTAAGCTCTCAAAACCACAAAAGGCAGCAGTGCCACTCTCCTGTATCAGTCTCTGCTGTCAGCCCCTGTGAAAGAAACTGATTTGGACTGTGGAGCAAAGGAACTCCAGCTCTGCACCGAGCTGATCCTTTGAAGATTAATTCCAAATGACAGCACTTACCTGTTTCCATGACACTCCTTGAGCAAAGACTATTATCATCAGTCAGGAAACACATTTCGATACCCCTGGATGAGTGACAAGAGGGCTCCCAACACCCACAAGTAGCCCTGGCTTCTCGATTTGGTAGTCTATGGAGTTTTTCATGTATTTGCACAGAAATCTGTGCCATTCTGGGCAATTTCTGGATGGACATGGGGCTAGATCCCAAGCCATTGGTCCTTGGCTCTAATCCCAAGGTGGCACTGGCATTCACAAACAGGCAGGACGCGAGTGGGTGTCCTGTCACACACCCCAGTGAGCCTTTCTGGGCACTTTAACTGCTCAGACCACAGTGCCCTCCCAGCAACTGAGTGGTACAGGAGCAGTTTTGCACATCAGTGTTCTCTTCCCTGCAGACTACAGGAATCCATTTGTGGAGATTCACCCTGAGCATCCCGAAATCATCTACATTTTGGATGACAAGAAAACGGTGGTTATCCCCTGCCGCGTCACCTCGCCAGACATCAGACCCAAGCTCACCCAGGTGAGTGACTGCCTCAGAGAAGATCAATTCACAGCTCTGGGCTGCCAACACAGTGGGTCAAAACACAAATTAAGATTTATGAAGCTGGGTAAGTTTCAGGAAAAAAATAGCAAATATGCTGAAAATCCAGAGGCAGAGTCCTGGTCTTGCAGTGTTACTATTAAACTGGGTGCAAAGGTGTTTGGGGGATTAGGCTGAATTTATCACATATATTTCTGATCTTGTAGCTTAGTGTTCCTCCTTAAGTTGGCAAAGGTAGATGACAAAGCACTGTTTTTTCTTCAGAATTCTTTGTATAACACCTGGTTATTCGCTCTCTTGTGAAAGCTTCTCTCTTTTATACCTTGAACTTCCTCAGAACTGTTGCCCATTTTTGCTTCATTTCATCAATTTAAACCAAGTTTCAGACTTGGGAATAAGCAGCTGCAGCATCCACCCCTTTGGCAGCAGTTACACCTGAATGTCAAGGTTACAGAACTGTCTGTGGAGGCCAAGGCTGTTTTGGATAATAAAAATGGAAATTTAAAGTCTGAGGCTTCCTGAATTGATGGAGGTCGTCACCCATCTGAAGGGCTTTAGAGCTGCTCTCCAGAGAACCTGTCATGGAGTGAGGAACAGAACATAGGTCTTCTGGCTCCAGTCCTGCATTTTTCCTCCTAAGTTATGTGCCTTTCCATTCCCATGCCAGGCTGAAGGCTCAAGCCATCCTGATGGGAACGAGAGCTCATCCCCTGCCCCGTTTCCAGCCTGTTCCGAGGAGGGGTGGGAGATGGGGCTGTTCTGGACATGGTGTGAGAGCAGAGCACATGCAAAGAGGCTCAAGCTGTGCTGGGAGAGGGGTCCGAGCACCTCTGCTCCTCTCAGCAGCTGGATGTCTCAGATGCCTCCTTCTCCTGGGACACAGCACATGGAATCCCGGAGGCTCCTGCTGAGACCCGTGGCAGGTTTCCAGCAGACGTGCAGAGGGACAGCATGGGCCTTATTGCTGCAGCAGATCTCCATTTTTAACTTCTGTCAGCAGGGGTTAAAAGGGGGCAATCCGGCTCCTCTCCAGTTATAGCTTAGCACTTTAGCCTGGATAAGTGTTATCACCTTCCCTCCCTGGCTACAAAAATGAAACATCCCCATCTTATTCCAGCCTGCTTCAAACAAATTCATGGCTGGAGCGTGCTCTCAGTCATGTGAGACTCAGTGTGGCCTTGGAACTCCAACCTCCACGTTTATTCCCTTATTTATGGGCAGGCCTGCTCTCCTTGCTTGCCAGCTAAATCCTCTTCCAGTAATTTCCAACACAAACTGAAGCCCTTTATCTTGCTGCTGGAATGAAATCTCCACCGAAATCTCCCTTTTGAGATGCACAGAAAACAGTCCCCAAAAGATTCTCCCCCTCCAAGGCAGAGCAGCTGGAGGGCAGGGCACGGACTTAGATGCAGTTTTGGGCACCGCAATATAGGGAAGATCTTACATTATTACAGAGTGTCCAAAGGAGGGCAATGAAGATGGGGAAGGGCCTTGATTTGAAGGCGTGTGAGGACACTGAGGGCACTTGGTGTGTTCAGACTGAGGGGAGAGCTCCCTGCAGTTCCAACTGCCTGGGCAGGGGCAGAGGAGGGGCAGGACTGAGCTCTGCTCTGGGGGGAGCAGGGACAGGAGCCGATGATCCCCGCGGGTCCCTCCCAGCTCAGCACACCGGCCGATGGCAGGCTGAGCCCAGCTCTGGGCCGGCCCCGGGATCCAGCGGCGGAAAGGCAGCGTTGTGGTGCCGGTGTGGGAATGGCCCTGTGGAGCCAAGGTGGCGGCTTCCCGTGAGGGGAGGAAGCGGGGCGGGAGAGGGGCGGAGGTGAGGCGGGTGGGGGGAGAGGTGGACAAATTTAGAACATCCTCAACTTCCAAATTTAATCTCCTGTAGACAGCACACTTCAAAGGCAGGGAAGCCACTGTGACTTCCTTCGAGCAGCGTCGACGCTTTTTGTTTGATTGTTTATATATATATTTTCAGATGTTTTATGAGGACATTTAATACGTGTGTAGTGTTGAAAAGGGCCTCCTGAGTGGGGTTATTTTTTCTTTCCCCTCCTCTTGCCATGAGGGAGCAGAGCTGCCAAACCATGAAGTTCAGCTTTATCACATTTTATTATTCTTGTAGAAAATGTATTTTTTTCCACCGTAAATTAAGTTCCTTATGTTACCATTATACTTTAAAATCATTGCACTCTCTGGCCTTTAAATATGCATGGAGAAAGGTACCTCTTGCTAATACTAAGCAGATCCCAGTTAACTCTATATATCATCTTTGTTATTAATGAACTCGTGCTAAGACACACATTTCAGATTTTAATTTTGCTTAACATGATTTTAATTCTGGGCAAAAAAAAAAAGCATTTTCAGTCTTGTCAGATCTGTTTAGTCACTGATCTGGTTCAGTGTGCAGTTGCCACTTACAGCTCTGACCTTCACGAGTGTTAAAGCATGAATAAGCCTCAGGTCTCAGATCTCCTTCTGTAATTTGTCTTGTTTTTCCTAATGGTTCTAAACAGAGACACCACAGCTTGATCATTTCAAAAGCATTTACATGAAATCCCTGTTTCCTACTGCTGTCAGAAGAGCTGCTGCTCCAAAAGACAGCAGTTGTCTCGCTGTGCCTCCTTCCCACACTACATCCCCAGTCCCTGCCCCTCAGCCAGAATCCCTTTGTCTTTGGTCTGGGCTGGAAATGTAACAACAAGTGACCCAAACCAGTGCCAACCTCATCCCTTGTGTATTCAGAGGAGAGTTCTGAGCCTCAGCTCCCAGGGCCTGAAGCTGCAAGTTCCATGGAACAGAATTATTTAGACTAAATCCTATTTAAGCTGCAGTGCCAAACAAGGGTTCCAGCTGTTGGGAGACAAACAGAAATTGCACACTGCTTAACAACACGAGTAGGAACAAAACTGTTCCATCACTGGGGAAACTCCTGCTTGCAGTCCCTGGTGCTGCTCTTCCTTGGTTAGCTCCACAAGATAAAACCAGGTCTTTGAGAAGAGAACAACATCAAGTTGTTCATTCACGTTGCTCCTTTGAGCAGCTGGAATGGGAGGAGGAAGAGGGAGAAGCACTGCAGATAAAGTTAGCCATCATGTGTGTAAGCACACTGAGATTTCCCCAAACCCTTCGTTTCTGGGGGCAGAAGTGATCTCAACACTCCTCTAGAGCATCCCCACTACTAAAGGGCCTTCCCTTGTCCTGATGAGAAAGTCAGACCTACCCAGACTTCCATTCACCCTCCTGCAAAAACACACTCCTGAGCTATTTCTCTGCACTTAATTTCACATTAACATACAGGGTTTCACTGTGTGTTAATATTAATAGTAGCAATAAACTAATTATTCCCACCAACAAAAGCCAAGCTACTTGACACTGGTGTGCCCAAGGGTATCTGAAGGAGGGTTCATCCTAATTTGCATTCTGTATTCTCACTTCTCCTCATAGAGAGTGTTTTTTTCAACAATCTCATAACATTACAAATGTTTATGAACTTAGGACATTAAGTCCCCTTATTTCTGCCATCCTATGATTTACACTTTGAAGTCACCAGGAAGTCCATGGGTTGCTCTGAGAGTGTCTTCTCCCTTTCTGTGGTATAGATGACTGGTTGCAGATCATACCTTGTATATAACTGCTGTCAGGTGAGTCAGTGACATGAATAATTCTGATTTTAGGGGACTCTCACTTCACACATATTTATAAAGTACTGTGAGATCCCAAGAAAATGTGTGGAACTGGGAGAAGCAAATCTTATTCTTAACCACTTGCAAAAATATTACCCTACAAAATTAATATAAGATGGGCATAATTATTTCCCATGAGGAGATGAGAGAAATGGGACCTGCATCTTGCCCAAGGTCTGAGAGGACTGGGGCTGCTGAAAAACCCCATTATGATGTCCAGGTTTTGGATTTCAAAGACAGTCCCACCTCAGGGAGGGTTTTTCCGTTTGCTTAGGTTGATGTTGCTTAAGAAGGGCGTGGAACGAGACCACCCACCGCTCTGGGAGGTCGGATCTCCCCCCATCTCTCCCCCAGCAGCCTTGGCTGGTTGCCTGGATGGTCGGAGGGGAAAGGGAAGGTCTCACAAGCCTCCTTGTCTGTTCTCTTCCAGTATCCTTCTTCTGCAGAGATCAACTTCAAGAGGATGGTGTGGGACCCGAGGAGAGGGTTTGTCATCCCCTCTCACTCCTTTGTGTACTCTGGAGTGCTCACATGCTCTGCAAACATCAATGGCACCGTGTTCAACTCCTACTACCTGGCCCAGAGACTGGGTGAGTGACCCCCCCGGCGCCCGGCACGGCCACACCGGCTCTGTTCCCCTGCAAGCCCCCGGGGTATTTCTTGGGGAGCCTCTATTACATTTGATATGTCTAACTGGTATGGATCTCTAGCGAGTCCAAGCTGGAATGCTAAAAGAAAACTCAATCTTCCCCTTTCTTCCTATTCAAATAGAGCTTGGATTTGATCCACTCCTGGTTTTGAAAAATCACCAGGTGTTGAGGTGGTACAAAACAGGAGTGTTTTATTCAAACCCCACCAAGGCTTTGTTTGCTTGGATTGAGCTGGTTTAGGATGAACCAAAAGCAGCTTTATTTTTGCTTCTGGTCATTAAACACGCACGATCATGATATAAAAATCTCACTAAACTGCTAATTCAAATCTTTGCTCTTTTGTATATTTTCTCTTGCTGATTTACTACACCATTTCCCTTGTATTTACAGTTGAGCTTCAGCTCATAAAGAAAATCTGAATTTGAAGCAACTGAACATTAAATTTTTGAGTGCTGGACTTTTATATGAACTCAACTAGAATTTGTTTTTCTTTTTCTTTCAGTGTATGTTCTTTCTTTCCTCATATATCTTATATTTATTGTGACTTCATTCCCATTAGATCATGGCATCCTTCTATACAATTAGCACTCAGCTTTAAACAACAAGCTTGTAAATTTGTATGGCAGCCAAATAAGAGTCCTGTAAATCTCTCTCTATCTCTGGTTTTTTCATTGCTGGACTAATTTTTTACTAAATTATGAATGCAAACCTAAAAAGCCTCTTAGATCATCCCTCTGCAGCCCAAAAGGACCCAGTCAATCCCTTACTCCATCCTGTGTTACTGTGCAGTGCTCAGGGGTGTGTTTGGTACGGGCACCAGAAACAGGATGAAATTCAGTTCAGAGCTGATGTGTGTAAGGCATCAATAAATATGCAAGATCAAGGTTTGGGGATCCCATTCAGAAAGGGAAGGGGGCAGGGCAGGAGAGGGCAGGAGAAACATGTTTCATGTTCCACAGAAGTGGAGCCTCTCAGATCCCTACGTGCTGAGGCCTCAAAAGGATGAGTCACCTCTGAGAAGCCTTTCTGTGGAGCTGAGGAGTGAAGGTTGGAGCCACACACGGCACAGGCAGGAGAAGTCATGCCTAAATGACTCTGTCCCTGGGATTAGCTGCTGGTCAGGCATTTACACAACTGACCCAATGTTTCCATGTGTGGGCATTTCCCACAGTTTCCACTGCAAGGACAGAATGGGGGGAGGTGTTTTGGGAAGTGAAAGGAGTGGATGTTGGAGAGGCAACTGTGCTGTGTGACTGGTGCAGAGTGTGCTGTGAGTTTACACCTTTGCCCTTTCCATTCCAGAGAGCAGAATACAGAACCTGGCTCTGAAAGCAACTCCCAAAAAACTGCTGGTTGGAGAGACTCTCCACCTGGAATGCAAAGCAGAAACCTTCATCAATGGGCGCATTGAGTTCATCTGGACGTGTCCCCGTGGGAGGGTGAGTGGATGTAAACTGATTCTGCTTCCATGCATCTCCCCCTCCCCAAAACAAAGACCTGTCCACAGGGCTGAGGCAAACCTGACCACGCTTTCCTCTGAAACGTGTCCAACCAGTTGTAAGCCTACAATGCATCCTATTTTTAGGATTCTGGATGAATCTGGAACTTATCTGACCTTCTTGAACCTGCAGATTAAACTGCAAATCTCAGGCTAAAAATACCCTGGCAAGGAGAGCTGGGAGTGTTTGCTTCTTACTGGGAAGAAAAACTCTCATTTCTTCTGCCCTCTGTGTCTCAAAGGCAGCCACAAAGGTTGCAAGTTGTTCATCTGCTCATCCATTTGGGGATTTATGAAGCAGGAGACAAGCAAAACAAAAGACAATTGTACCTGCTGAAATTGCCAGCAAAGAATGGAATCTAAATTCTGAGTGTATGTTCTTGAGCTTTCTGGGGAAGGCAACACCAAAGTGCCAAATGTGAAGCGGAAACACGAAAGAGACTGAGCATTTGAGGTACCAAACCCTCTCAGTTCTCCAAAGGAAACAACAGAGGGAACAAGGGGTCTTTTACAAATCAGTTAATGTACCTGCGATTCTGCTCATGGTTCCGTTTGGTGCTCAGAATTAAAATTAGTGGGTTTTTTTTTAATTTATTTTTAGTTCAGCAAAATACACATTTCAAAGAAGGATCCAGGCCTCTTGGGAAGGTGTAAAATGGGATTCCTAAAAACTGATTAATTCTGACTTATTTTGCTTACTTAAAGAAAGAACGTCTGGGTTTGTTTCAGTGAAGAAACTACAGAAAACATAACATAGAATTTATCGAAGTGCAAGCACTGGTGTGACTGAATTTCATTTCTTGAACCCCATATGGTGGAAGAGAGTTGTTTTCCTACGAACCCTCCTTATATTTCCAACATTATAAATGTAAAATTTCTTGGCCAATCTCTGGGTTAAAATATCCTATTAGAAGCAATAATGCTTTCTAAAATGCTACAGGAATTTGCATTGGCACCTGGCTGTCATAATATATTATATTTCTCTCATAATATATTTCTTTTAGAAAGTAGGAGTCTTTTAATACAGAAAAACACTGACTGTGACCAAAATAAATTTTAAAAAAACCAAAACCTCAGGGCACAGCTCTGACCCTACAGCTGTTTTGCCCCAAGATCTCTGGGATCTGGTCCTGGAGAAGGGCTGAGCTTTGATACATTCCCTTATTTACCTGTTTGCTCAGTTTTCAGTAGAGAAGCACCACAGTTCCACTCTGTTTGTCTCTCTTATTAGACTCAATAATGAAACCTCACACAAGAGCTCTTCCTGCTGATTTGTCTTTTATATAATTTATTTCAGTGATGGGGACATATGATAATTTCTGTATGAATCACTGCTTTACTGGCAGACTTTGAAAGGCTGAACAAAACAATCCTCTTTCTGCTGCTTTTTGACCCTCTTTTTTTTCCTGACTTGCAGCACCCCCATCCTAGGAGAGCAATGGACCGGAGTGACGTGGTGTATAAAGCTGGCAGCAGCCTGACAATTGAAAATGTCACCATGGAGGATGGAGGGTTGTACATCTGCAGGACATTCAATGCCACCAGGCTGGAGGCCAACGTCACAGTTACAGTGTATGGTGAGTGCTGCAGCTAAGCCAGGGCACCCAGGGACCAAGGTTGTTAAGCTTAGAGGTAGGAAATCTGTTGCTCTAGAGATGGCATTAGGAAGAAAGGCAACTAGTTAAACCAACCATCAGTCATCTGTAACCTCCATGAGTCAGCACCCAGCACTGTGACTTCAAACATGTTCAAGAGGGTACATTTAGATTGGATATTGGGAAGGAATTGTTGGCTGGGAGGGTGGGCAGGCCCTGGCACAGCTTGCCCAGATCAGCTGTGGCTGCCCCTGGATCCCTGGAAGTGTCCAAGGCCAGGTTGGAAGGGGCTTGGAACAACCTGGGCTGGTGGAAGGTGTCCCTGCCCATGGCAGGGAGTGGAACTGGATGGGCTTTAAGGTCCCTTTTAGCCCAAACCAGTCTGGGGTTCTGTGACACCTGAGGATGTGGATTAATTGGGAGCTGAACTGTTTTGAAAAAGTCCCGTGTGGTGCTGAGGGCCTTGTAAATCCAGCCTGTCCCTCCACATGGACAAGGGACACCCCAGGCACTTTCACACCCCGATCCAGGGGCAATACAGGTGTATATTCCCTGCTTTTCATATCAGGTCCCTCATGTGGAAACAGCCCTTCCTGGCTGTGGCTGTGCTGTTCAGGAGCATTTGCTTGGCTGAGCTCTGCAGATCTGTACTGGAAACAATCCCAGGCAGTCCCGGCACAATTCACAGGTGTGAGCACTGTCCCATGGCAGATCTGCCATTCCTTATCTTCCTGTTCATTTCTCTTCCCAGACAAACCCTACATCACCGTTTCACATAAGAAAGGGCCTTACTACGAGATCACCTCGGGACACAAGTCACTCAAACTGGCTGCAAAGGTGGACGCCTTCCCTCGGCCCAGCGTCTCCTGGTGAGTACCCTCATCGAGAGCAAAGACAGGGACTCAGCACCTCCTTTAGGGCTCCTGTCTGGAAGAGATTGTCACTGTTCCTTAGCACAGAGATAAGAGCTGGGAATGCTCAGAGCTGGGGGCTCACGCTTCAGCTGAGATGGGACTCTGCTCTGAGCTGCCCTAGTTCTGTGGAGCTGGGCAAGCCATACCTCATTCCCATGCTGGTATTCCCTTCAGTCATTCAGAAAAGGTCCCTAAAGGAAAAATGAGGGTTTCACTTACCCTGGACACAGAACTGTTTGGGAGATTCAAGCAGGAAGCTCTTGGGAAAGGGTTGCCTGTTGACTCCCTTCAGCAGTGCTCAGTCTGCAAGGGGTTAATAGAAAGGACACGTTCTCAACATGACAAATTGTTTCTTTTCATAACTTTTAAGCAGTTTCCTCCAATCCTGTACCACCAAATCCTTGTAAACAATACAATGAATCCTCCAGACCAAACCAAGGGCTCCAGTGGGACTGTAGTGGATCTGCTAAAGAGGAGGGGCAGCACGGCAGCAGCTCCAGGAGACATTCCTGTCTCTCCTTGCCCTTTCACCACTTGTCTTCTCTCTTGCTGCTTTTCCAGGCTTCATTCTGCCTGGAATTCTAATGGGGTCGTTAACAACCCCATCCAATGCCTTATACATCTTTAACTGCATGAAATCCCATGGGGTATCTGGCAGGGGTTTGCCTGTCCTGGCAGAGAAGGTGGCACTGCCCAGAGCGCCTGTCCTTGGCCAGCTCAGTGCCTGGCAGGCACAACAGGGATTGCTCAGGGCTGGCCTTGCTGTGTTTTATTAGCAGTGCAATAACCCTAAATTCTCTAACATTAGTCAAATCAGTGAAATGAGTGCTGCCAGGAGGTGGGTTTAATTGCTGCTGTTATCTGGGGATGTTGGGAGTTGAGGTGGGGACTGAGCCCTTCTCTCTGCCAAGGCTTTGTTCAGGCTCAGCGTGGAGCTGTTTGGGGGCTGCTTGGGACCACCAGAGCTGTCCTCCCTCGAAGCTGCAGCTGTTGATGTTGGAGGTCTCTCAGGATAGTTGTTTTAATGACTGTAAAGGAAGTTTCCAGCATTCACAGGCAGTAGGACATGTGTCCCAGCTTCTCCTTGCACCAAGCCTAAAGCTCTGTGTGTGGCAAAGTCTGGCCTGTTTCCTGACCATAACCCAGATCTGCATGTTGGATTAGCAGTGAAGAGGAACCTCCTCATACAGAGCCTGCTCTCCTACTCCCAGTGAACCCTCCAGGCTGGGAACTCCTCACTGAGCTTCCTATTGACTGTCTTTCTCCAGGTCACAGACTTTACCTTTTCAGAAACATCAAAGGGTCACATACATATACTGGAAGAGAATTTTGCTTAATTAATCTCTTCTTTTAAAGCTGAGGACAGCAGTTGGTATTGCCCACCCACCATGATTTTGGGGCATTTAGATGTACATTTCTGACTGCAGTTGAGCATGTGAGAGGCTCTGCTCATTCAGATCCATCTTTTTCCTGTTTACTGGAAACCAAGCACTCCAGATGCTGCTCAGTTCAAGTGTGGAAGTATATCAGATTCAAGCAGGGATTATAGACATATATAAAATATATATATTATAGACCCTTACTGGCTCCCAAGGATGACTCTTTACCCACCGAGTGGGTCACAGCATTTCTGAGGGAAAACCTTCTCAATGAACCTTGATGGGACTTCCAAAACAGGTACAAGGATGGCAAACTGATCAAGGACAACCACACCTGCTACGAGCCAGATCCACTGAAGTACAGGCTGGGAATACGGGATGTGAGACCCAAACATGCTGGGAACTACACCATTGTCCTGAGCAACCCCAAATACGGCCTCTACAAGAACCTCACCATGCAGCTGGTGGTGACAGGTAAGGATGTGATGTTTATAACGGCTTCTGCTGGGGAGTTTATCCTAGTTTGGGGGATCCTACTTCCCCAGCCAGCGGGAATGGGGGATATTCCCTGGGGTTTAGCTGATAGGAGCTGCCACAGCACCATGCACAGGTCACCACCTCACTCGGGAACCACTGAACCCCTCACTTCACCACGAGTTCAGTTGGAGCAGCCCAATGGAGAGGAGTTAGTCTGAAACCAGGTCACCTAAAGCCCCTGTCCACCAAGACATTGCCCCTCCATCAGCTGCAGCACCGTGTGAGGCTCCACAGAGGGAAGCAGAAAGGGCTTGGAAGTGAACAAACTTCACATTTTAATAGGAGTTTGGGAGGATATCGAGTAGTGAGGTCTTAGAACTGCAGGCACAGTTTCCCAAGAGAAGTGATGGAAGTTTTATCCCTTGGGATTAAGAACAAGGTTGGGCAAAGAACTGGAGAACATCTGTTGGGACAGGAAGAGTCCCAGTAGGGCTGAGGGAAGGAACTGGATAAGTTGCCCTGGCTTTCATGTCTGTCTATCATCCTGCTCCAGATACACTTCCCAAGTCTGTATTTTCTGTTCTGTCTTTTACCTGCTGGGAGCACTTGAGAGATAGGTTGATTTTCAGGGGAATCTGGAGAAAACTGCAGTAAACTGTGGTGTGCACTGAAGCAGGTTCACTTGCCATAGAGGGAAAATAGATATGGGAGTCCCATTTATTAACCTCTCTCACTGGGAAAATGGAAGACAAAGGCACACTGTCCCTTTGCACACCCACTGCCTCTTTTAATCCACTGAATTTGGCAACAGAGATTAAATCATGAGGACAAGCAGGAGTTCAGCAAAACTCTGCTTCCCTTGGTATTTCCTGAGGTTCACTTGGGCAGTCAGGTAGATAAAGTTATTGAGACAGGTTTGCTTTTTTTTCTGTGGTGAATTCTTCTCTCCTTACCCTTTTTACACCTAAAAATAGCCTCAATTTTCCATTTTTTTATATACTTCTGTATTGTTGCACCACGTAACTTCCAGCAGTTGTGTTTTTCTTGTTTCACCTCTCAGAAAGGAATAACGCCTAAAAAATGGAGGACTTGTCACTTAGGCACATCCGGTCTATTAAAAATGCTAAAAAATATATGGTAGATTAAAAAAGCTTAAGCTTAAGCCTGACATAAACTAATGGGTGATTTAGGAGTGGACAGAGCTAAGAACATGCTTATGGTCAGGTACTGCAGCTCAGCTGAGGAGGAGTGTGTTGAGCTGAGCAATTTGTTCACTTGAGATTGTTTTTCCATACAATGGTTTTGCCTCTTGTTAAGAGAACGGAAACGTTCAGAGGAAGAGAAAATTAAGAATGATAATAAACTATCTTGTCAAGGTAAATATTGGTCTTTGCGTGCAGAGCAGACCGTTTACTGGAAGGGCAGCCGTTCCCCAAACAGGCAGATGAAAAACAAACAGCCCTTGTTCCTATCGGCAAGATGCTATTTCAGGAGGAAACCATCCCATGCTCTTCACTGCAGCACAAGCCTTTCATCTCCACTGTGTGTCCAGGATGGTGGATCCTGCCCCTCACATGCCTGGTACTCATCCTCAGCCTTCCTGCGGGCTCAGCCCAGCAAAGACTTCCACCAGCAATAAGTATTTAGTTGCAAACCCACCCCTTCTCAAGAGCTTGCAAAGTCCAGCTCCTGCAGGAGCAACTGTCACCTGGGGAAGCACAGGAAAAATGCACAGCAAGTGCCTCTTTCCTGCTGACAGCAAGCCGTGGCAGAAATGAGAGCAAGCAAGGCAAACACGTGCCCAGGAATGCCGTGGGTTCAGCTGAAGGCTGAACACAAAGGGGGTGTTTGCCTTGGCTGCAGGCAGGGCTGACACAGATCACCCAGGGAATCTCTCCTGCCTTTGCCAGGCTCGTCCCTGCAGCCCCACCCTGACGTGTGTGAAGCCCTCGGACCAAGGAGAGGCTCATTTTGCTGTGATTCATGTGGGCAGAGACCAAAAAGGCACATTTTGCTCTTGGAGCTTATCCAAGAGCAGCAAACTGCCCATTTCTTGTGCTTCCCACCAGAGTAAAGGGACTGCTTTTCCAGATCTGGAAAAAGCATCCTTTGCTTTATTTTCAAACCCACTCTGAAGCTCCCAAGTGAAGGCAGATTGGAATTTTCCCCTTAAGTCTCTGCAAATAACCTGACGCTTTATCTCCAGTCATCATGACTGATATCCTGGTATCACACCTGGACAGATTAAATTGCTTGGAGCCTCGGCAGACACACAGACAGAGAAGGAGACCAACACATGCTTTGTAGCCCTTTCATGCAGGGATTACCTTGCCCACCACCTCTGAGCTGGAGGGTTGATTAATGTCTCTGCTTGGAGCCACAAGCAGTCTGCAATTACTGACGCTGGAATCGGAACATGGGGATTAGTAGAGTTGATGGAAAAATCCTCTTGGGCTTCAAGTGCACACAGTGGTAGGAGTATCAGTTTTGCATTGAGTCTAAAAGGTGGAGCCTGCAGCAGTTCAGCTCCTGATAAACCTCCTGCTGAGTAATAACCAGGTACCAGCTCCCTGAGACCGGGGAGAAACATTTTTGAGTGATTGCTCCAAAAAACCGTGGCCAGTCTTTGCATTTCAGATCTGCATCTGTGGGAGGGAGTGAGTTCTGATCCATAGAGTGAAAGAGAAGAGGGAAAATCATTTAAATAGACTTTTGAATGAGAAGATCAATGTCATTTGAATGTTTTCTGTTGCTGGCACTAAAGAAATGATCAGTAATCACCCAACCTCCTCTTCTGAGAGTCTCTTCATAATAATCCGTCATTAATGCTCCCAAGTGCCACAGGTAGTACTGCTGGCAGTCAGCCTGCTGTGACAAACCCATCAGCTGCAAATTTGGACGAGGTATAGAAGAAGTTTAAAGTTACTAGTCCTGTGAATTGTTTTTCACAAACAGTATTAGCAGCAACAGGACTTGTCCACGAAATGGCACTGTATTAATTTTTGCAGTGTATTTTATTCAGTAATAATGGCAGCAGAGGAGAATCCTTTAAGCAGGATGAGAACAAGATCAGAATTCACCTGCCTGAGCCCTGGATGCAGTGTCTCTCCTGACCTGCACTGCTACAGCTTTCCTGTGAGTCACCTCCTGGATACTTAACTGGGAGCAATCACAGTAGTTCTGACATCCACTGTACAGGGTATTTCACTACATGGGAGAACATTACCAACTATTCCTCCCCAGGTTGGTTTGGCCATAAAACTGCTAAGTGCATGCAGGGGTATCACTGTCTGGGCTCCAGAGAGTGAAAAGGGAGCAAAATGGGCAAATAACTCCAGAGCTGCAGGGTGGGAACTGAGAGCAACCCCAGCCCAAGGCGAGGACCTGGCTGACAAGCTACACAAGGAGCTGCCTGGCCTGGAGGACAACCGTGCTGCTATTCAAAAAATGTCACTTTAAGAAGTGGCTTAACTGTGCCTCTGGTCACCCCTGCTCCCACTGCAGCTGGAATTTAATCTTGCAGGAGCACATATCTCGTTGTGGAGTCACCTTGGCTCATTGTAGGACTCAAGTCCCCAGGAGGCAGCTGACTGCATTTTCAAAACACTCCTTCTTTACATATTTACACATCAAACACTGTCCAAGAAGCGGCGGGTTGCTGTGTTTTTGTTTTGTTTGATTAAATTCTTATTGAGAAAAGCTTCGAGAAAATAATGTCCTGAAGAATTTGGGAGGGAGGGAGCAAGGAGAAGGAACAATCCTAGCAAACAGCTGGTGGCTGAACATCTGAGCCAGCCAAGAAGGAGAAATGTGGGAGAAAAGAGTTATTCCAGGCTGGAGTGCAAAGCAGTTTCAGAACAAAACATAAACAACCCCCTCAGATCTATTTCTGGACAAGCAGGCTGTGTTTCATTCTCACCCTTGTCCAAGTCATCCATGTCCATCAGGATTCCTGCTGAGCTCTTTTGGAGCAGTCAGCGTGCTCTGGCCACCACATAGGGAGTGAGGAGTGTACTGAAGCATAAGTTAATTCCAAAATGGGATGAATAACCTCCTTCACCCTTTGCCTTTCTTCTTTGTCCCAAAGTTTCTCTCCTGTGCTCCCTCAAGGCTCTTCCAGCAAATACTGCTTTGGGTTCCAGCTGCTCCAGCCAACTGAAGTTACCTTCCCTCGCAGAGTCCTCAATCTCCCAAGCTCGTGTTGTATCCATAAGAAATGCAGGATTAAGTGCTAGAAATAGCCTTTACCACAGGCAGCAGAAATTCACTGGCTCCTGGTGAATTCCCTGTGTCCTGGAATAAGAGGGATGCAGGGGAATTCACGTGTGCATTGCCGTGTGCTTTGTTATGACAACGAGGCACTGGCTGCACCTCCACATGTTACCAGGGAGAAGCAGCTCCAGAGCTCCTAATGATGCACGTTGCCCCACTCTGCAGCCAGGTCAGCTCTTCATAGTTGGTTTAAAATCAAAGGCAAAGGCAGTTCTGTGCCTGACCTTCCTTGGCTTGAAGGGATGAGTTGACATCAAAGGAGCCCACAGTGACCTCGGTAAAAGCCAGTAAATATGTGGTGATCCATGTGAGCAAAACCCCATCGCCTCACCCGGACCCAGAGTAGTCTGGAGAGGGCAAAGAGCCTTGAGGACGAGGTTAATGCTTTTGGGCCCTGCCAGTTCAGACAAAAGCAGATCTTAGAGTGGTGGATCTCTGCTAAAGCCAGGGGAGGACAGAGGGGGGAGTGGCAGAGTCTCTGGTGTTGGAAGGGGCACTGAAATCTGAGTTGAACACTGCTGCAGTGTGAGAAACAAGGCTTTCCTTGGATTATCAGCGAAATCCAGCTGATGTTTGGGCTGAAGGACTGAGCCAGAGACAAGAACCAGGGCCACACAAAATGCCTTGCCTGCACACTGCGGTGTCCTGCCAGGGCTGGCCTTCCTTTGTGCATCCCATCCAGCTCCCGCACAGCTCCTTGGAGGATGAGCCACTCAGCAAAAGGC